ATCTAGAGAGAGGGGTCCGGAACACCCCTCTGAAATTTGTAAAGTTATTTAATGCGCAAACTTAACCAACTAAAAATCATTTAATGTATTAAAAAAATCAACTAAAACGGACCTTAGACCCCCCCACCCAACCCGAAAATGTGGATTCGTGTTAAGTTGTTACGAAAAATGTCATACACATGAAGGTATGACGTATAAGAACCCCTCTCCCCGGCCGAAATAAATTTTTACATTTAGGAAAGGACTTTACGTATTTTTTTCTTGTCAAAAAATTTCTGGGTTGGATTTTTTTTATACGGGGTGACCCTCTTGGAAAAAATGTCCTATATTTTTTTATTTACATAAATATCGATATAAAAAAATTTATTAAAATATGTGTGGCAGTTGGCAGTAAGCAGCTGACAGTTGACAGTAAGCAGTCAGCAGTGGGCAGCAAGCAGTTGGCTGTCGTATATGGCATTCCATAATCCAGTCTTTCTTTACATATTCTATTAGATATTCATATGATGCATTCATTTACAGCAAACTTTTAATTCAAAAACTATGGAATGCCATATACGACAGCCAACTGCTTACTGCCAACTGTCAGCTGCTTACTGCCAACTGCCACACATATTTGAATAAATATTATATTTGCATTGATATTTATATGAATTTTCACAAAAAGGGGGGAGAAAATGCACGGATCCAGGACATTTTTTTCTTAAGGGGTCACCCTGTTAAAATTGAACTGAATAAAATGACCAATATGTTTTATGTTATGTAATATTCAATATATGCAGTTGATAAAGTACATCGTATATTCTTTTTAAATTTGTTTTCCTATTTGAAATAGGTAATAAAATGACTATTTTCTGCCTTTAATCTTTAAAGATCCCCCTTCCCCCGGAGATAACAAAACCTTTGAAGATAGAATAATAATAAAAAAGATTTGTCGTTTCGCAGAGAAAGATGTTTTTAAAATAAATTTCCGTTTTCCATTATATTCTACGGTTAAAAATTTTCTCAAATTAAAGATGTATTTCTCTGTGTGTTATAATGTTTCACACGCATAGATCGGGGGGGGGGGGGATTTGAAATTTGTACAGTCATACGTTAAATAAACTAAACGAACTACAGGTATAACTGACCTTGGACCCTCCACATGAAAACGCCGGTCAAACATTTATATCTCTTTGTTTGTACAAATAAAATATGGGCAGCCTAAAATATGTTTTACATGCAGAGATCTAAAGAGAGGGGTCCGGAACACCCCTCTGAAATTTGTAAAGTTTTTTAATACACAAACTAAACCAACTAAAAATTATTTAACGTATAAAAAAAAAAATCAACTAAAAGGGAACTTAGAATCCCCCCCCTCCCCAACCGAAAATGTGGATTCGTGTTAAGTTGGTGTGAAAAATACAATACACATGAAAGTATGACGCATAAGAACCCCCTCTCCCCGGCCGAAATAAATTTTCAATTTAGGAAAGGACTTAACTTATTTTTTTCTTGTCAAGAAATTTCTGGGTTGGATTTTTTTTTTTTACCAAAGTGACCCTCTTGGAAAAAATGTCTTATTGATCCACACCTTTTTTTTAAATTTACATTAAAATCAATATAAAAATAAAATTTATTCAAATATATATGGCAGTTGGTAGTAAGCAGCTGACAGTTGGCAGTAAGCAGTCAGCAGTTGGTAGTAAGCAGCTGACAGTTGGCAGTAAGCAGTCAGCAGTTGGCAGTAAGCAGCTGACAGTTGGCAGTAAGCAGTCAGCAGTTGGTAGTAAGCAGCTGACAGTTGGCAGTAAGCAGTCAGCAGTTGGTAGTAAGCAGCTGACAGTTGGCAGTAAGCAGTTGGCAGTAAGCAGCTGACAGTTGGCAGTAAGCAGTCAGCAGTTGGTAGTAAGCAGTAGGCTGTCGTATATGGCATTCCATAAAAAACAACTTATTTATATATTTTTTTTTCATTTCCTTTAAAAAATTACCAAAAAATTAATATAAAATAATTAAAAGCTAATATCGGCCTTTCAATGCTGAAACCATTGTTTAAAAAAGATGACTCAAAGCTCTGTAAAATAAATTAAAAATAGTGTGGCATTCCACCTTAACCAGTCCAGATTTCCCAGAAGATAAACTGCCTCACGTACATATAATTAGCAATAGCACAGACACATGTTTCGGCACACCCTACATATTTTAACCAGTAATAATTAAGTAGGGAGTGCCCCATAAACAAAACAAGTGCTTGGTGTGAGATATAGGCCTTCTTTCAACTATGTCAAAAGAGAAAAAAAATCAACAACAAAAGGCTTTTCAAATATTACATCCAATCAATACAGTTGCTTAGCAAAATGACACAACAAAGCATAACAGTCACGCAATGAAAAGAAAATCGATTTCAAAGATCTTACTCCATTTTGGGGGAAGAACTGATATAATACTTGAAATTATAGAGATTAAATTGATAATTGATATTGAAAATAAAGAAGTTTGGCGAATGTGAATAATTAATAAAATTGTAAGAAAAATAATTTTTGAATTGTTCCATTGTCCAAGAGAATAGAGAATAAGTTAGACCCTAACAAGTTTTGTAAAAATGCATGAAAACAGGGATTAAAATTCAGAAAATCTCTGAAGCACATGCTCATATTGTTACTGTATCAAAATGCTATATAGACTTTTCAAAACTTCAATATGTTTTCATCATATGTGCATTTTTAAAACGTTCTTTAACTTATATTTAGTTATTATAATATCAGCTACAAATTGAAACACTTGCTCGAATTCATAAACATGAAAAGAATATTTTTCATGCATACGAAATTTGATATCTTTATCATATTTCAACGCACGACAAATTAATAAATGTAAACATACAGTAGAGTGTTCATTATTGTGTTCCAGGCTAGATGCATTAATGACTTCAGAATCAGGGGAAGGGGGCTTAGCCTCCTACCCCCTTATTTTACAAAGATAGACATAATAATTTAATTTTACTTGTATCAAGCAATTTCATTGGCTGAATCATTCAGAGGAACATATAATATTTTGGATAACATAACTTGCCTACGTCACAATGAGTTACGTCAAAAACGTATTACTCCGCTTGACGTTACTTTTAAATTATTCTATATTTGAAGCCTTTTTCCAGAGGAAAAATTGTTTCATTGACTACACTGAAATTAAATTATAAGTAATGAAGCTAATTTCAACTTATGTTATACGATATAACATAACTTGGGGCAGTTTACGCTTTTTTATAAACCGCTTCGCGGTTTATAAAGCGTAAACTGCCCCAAGTTATGTTATATCGTATAACATAAGTTGAAATTAGCTTCATTCCTTAAATAAAGGCATTGATTGATTGATTGATTGATTGATTGATTGATTGATTGGATATTGTTTAACTTCCTCTCGAGAATTTTTTACTCATATGGAGACGCCACCACTTGCCGATGGAGAGCTACAAAATTTGTCCTATACTCGGCACTTAGGGCCATGGAGCAAGGAGGGATATTTTTCGTTCCAGCGCCTAATGCGACAACGGACCTCAGTTTATACGGTCTCATCCGAAGGATCTGTCTCCAGGTCCCAACAATGAGATTCGAATCCGCGACGTTAGGTTCATCTCCTTACTTCGTCACTCTAGAGCAAATGCTCTAATCATTGCGCCAAGCGGGCGACAGAAGGCATTGAAAAGCGAGGCCTAGCCCTTAAAATAATATTTTTGTCGGAGAGTTAGCCCAAATTTTTGACTTTTTTGTTGTTTGAACTCCCCCTTTTTCAATTTTCATCCGACGCCATTGGATTAAAGGTGTTTGTTTTATATGAATATGTAATCAGCTTTCTCTCTCTCTCTCTCTCTCTCTCTCTCTCTCTCTCTCTCTCTCTCTCTCTCTCTCTCTCTCTCTCTGCTTTTCACAACCTTTATTTATCATTAAATATGCAAACGCCCAGCAACACTTTCCATTTACATCCCTTAATATTAGTGACTGGATTCAATAAACAAACTTAACTGATTGCAGATTTTATTTTAGAAAAAAACTCGCTACACTCTATAATTATCTTTTATTGAAATAAAACAGGTCATAGAAATCTGCTAAATTTACACAGCTCTGAAATTTTTTTAAAAGTTAAAAAACAGTTACAAAAGTGATTAACAACATGTCCAAGATCTACAGAAAATATTACATTAACCTTAAGTTTGTTGCGAAAGCTAGAACTTTTATTCAAGGTAAAAAATGTGAATAACATAGCTAATTATCCTCATGTCGTGTACTACATTTTGAATTAAAGGCAAAATTTAGAACATAACGATGATTAAAATTGTGTTCTGTTTTGAATGAGGCTTAAAACACCGCAGAGCTATTCTGGAACGCTCAAATATAAAAAATAAACGTTTTCTTCATTTTTTTTTAAATGAAAATATCATTAAAGAAAAAAGAAATGAATTTGTATGGCACGCAAAATTCACAAAAATGAGCTAAACATAGTTTCACAGTTGACAAAATAGGTTTATCGACTGTAAACTATAGTTTTTAAAATCCGTGAGATATAGTTAACAATTCGTTAACTATAGTTTTCATCTGTAAAATTATATTTAACGGTTGTTAACTATAGTTTAAAATAACGAATGCTAATCTAAGTTTATCTGTCTGTAATAAAGTGTTAACTACAGAATTTGTTGATAAACATAGATTCACGTCTGTTGATTATAATTTTCAATCGTGAACTATAGTTAAGAGTTGTTAATCATAGTTTTACAAATCGCGAAACTATATTTATCAGATCGTTAACTAAAGTTAGGTGTTGTAAACCATAGCTTACAAGCCGTGAAACTGTATTTATCAGATGATATATGTTTTTCAAAAGATTGTTTTCAGTGTTAAGTATAGTTTACTGTTCCTTATGGTCTTTCCATCCTCACAAATTTAATGGTTTAAAGTACAAAAAATGGATTTTTTTCATATAATATAGTTTAAATTAACTATTTATAGCAAAAAATGTGTAGGTCACCATGTTTTTTTTTTTTAAAATGAGAGACAAAAGTACATGTATTTATCAACATGAAAAAATTGTACACGTTTTGTAAATAGTATTAAAAAAACTGGTTCAAATGCAAAAATTCTGATGCTGAAACTTCCGAAATACTTCCCTTTTATAAGATACTTTTGAATTGTGAATATCAGAGAAACTATTTTACATTAGAAGTACAATAAAGTACAATGAAGAAAATGCCTGAATGAAGAAACCTGAGAAAGAGTTATTGCCCTTGTCAACATTTTTTAAAGATTAAAATAATTGATTAAATATTAAAAATGTATTTTTAAAATTCTTTTAATTAACAAAATTGATCATTACACCTATTGAAAAGCATTCTTCCAAAAGATACTGTTCTATTTGGTATGATTTTCAATAAATGACAATTTTTGAAAAAAAACTATGACGTCATAGGAGTTTGGAATTACCTTAACATAGATTAACGTGTTAACTAGGGTTTACAGAAGTAAAATATAGAATAACGTTGTTAACTATAGTTTATAGTCCGTAAACTATAGTTTCCAACCGATAAACCTAGTTAATGGACTTTGAAACTATGTTTAGCTCATTTTTGTGAATGTGGCATATCCTAAATATGGAATCCTGCTTATAAACTCATACATAAAACATACATCAATATCAACAAGTATTCTGGGAGAACATTTGTATTGAATTTCCAATAGTAGTCCCCCCTACCGGCATTTGCAAGTGCAATCTGGTTCCCATATAAATCAAAGGACTATAATTTCACTCAAAAATCGTTGAAATGGAACAAAAATATAAACTTGATCTGTATACGTAACTCATCAAGATACATTTAGATACTGAAAATCAGCTCAAAATACTCAAGCATTTAGAATAAAGAGCAGAATACCATAAAAATGTTTTTAAAAGGTGTGATTCTCTAAAAGAATTATTGAAGTGGAATCAAATTTTTTACTTGATTTGTAACTTATGATATGTTTACATGCCAAAAATCAGCTCACTATCTGCAAGCTTTAAGAAAAAAAGTGCGGAAAATCGAATTGGACAGACTGACTGACAGACAAAGGGACAGCTAGACGGACGGACTCAAAGGAAACCTATAGCCCCTTTGTTTTCACAGGTAGGGAACTAATAAATATGATCATAAAAACAGCAACTAACAAGATGTATTTGTGAACCACTAAATGTATGGAAATATAGCAAAGATTAAAATTTTCGTTAATGCAAATTTAATATATTGGTACCAGAAGTAAGGCATTCTCACTGGAAATACAATTGTGAAAAATGAAAGTAGGCCAATGTTAAAATTTTTTCATAAGTACAGAAATCTTCAAGGTCAAGGTCAATGGTATCCAATGAAAGGTCTTGCAACATAATATACATATGTAAAGTATGGAAACTCTAGCACTTACCGTTCAGAAGTTATGGCCAAGGTTAAAATTTTAATAAGTAGGTCAAACTTTAAGGCCAAGGTCGAAGGTCTTGGCCTCTTCAAATAAAAGGTCTTGTCACAAGGATCAAATATGAAAAGTATGAAAGCACTAGCACTAACCCTTTAAAAGGAAATGTCAAGGTTTTCTTTTTAAAAGTAGGTAAAACTCCAAGGTCAAAGAGTCAAAGTTCCTAGTATCCAATGAAGGGTCTTTTCAGAAGGATAACATAAGTGAAAGGGTCACTAGCCCTTAGTATTCTAAAGTTATGGTCAACGTTAAATTTTTTTCATTAAGTACAATATCTCCGAGGTCAAGGTCAAAAGGTCAAGGTAATTGGTATTCAATGAAAGGCCTTACCACATAGAATACATATGTAGAGTAATGGAAGCCCTAGCCTTAACAGTTCAGAAGTTATGGCCAAGGTTAATTTCTTTAACAGAAGGTCAAACTCAAAGGTCAAGGTCAAAAGGTAAAGAGTCTTGCTTTCAAATGAAAGGCTTTGTCACAAAGATTAATAATGTAAAATATGAAAGCAATAGCCTTAACCCTTTAAAAGTTAAGGTCAAGGTTTGCTTTTTAAAAGGAGGTCAAACTCCAAGGTCAAAGGGTCAAAATTCTTGGTATTCAATGAAGGTTTTTTTTTTAACAAGAATTACATATGTGATGAAAACCCTATCCCTTGCCGTTCAAAAGTACTGTACAAGGTTCAAGTTTTTTCACAAATTTAAAATCTCCAAGGTCAAGGTCAAAAGGTCAAGGTTGTTGGTATGCAATAAAAGGTCTTGCCACAAAAAATACATATGTGAAGTATAAATGTCCTGTTTATTATTGTTCAAAAGATATGGCCATAGTAAAAGTTTGGAATTTTTGTGTTTAAGTGGGTCAAACTCCAAGGTCAAGGTCAAAATGCCAAATTTAGTAGTATCCAAAGAAAGGTTTTGTCACAAGTAATACACGTTATACGAAATATAAAAATCATAGCTCCACTAAATCAAAAGTTATGGGCAAGGTTAAAGTTTTTGCGGACAAATAGACAAACAGAGAGACAGACAGACGGACGGACACGACAAAAACTATTTACCTCCGAAACTTCGTTTACGGAGGCATAAAAAACAAACAAACAAATTATCTAAAGCAAAATAGAAGAAATCTAGCTCCCTAGCTTGCACACTAGTGGTACAATGTAGTACAGTGATGGAAGTAAGTTTGGTACAGTGTACATGGATTTCTTTAAATTTTGTCATCAAGAAGTCAAAACAAGACAAATTCAATGTTTTTATCAGAAGAAAATTTATTCTACCTTACAAATACATGTATTGAATTTGGAACATACAAAATCAGTTCTCCAGTATCAGAAAATGAAACATACTATATAGAAAGTTAATAAAATAAATGTAAAATGTAATTTTCCAACATAAGAAAAACCAACGGATGTTTAAATTTACGAAAATTGATTAACATAATAGTGGAAAACGAGAACAAAAAATGAACTTAAAAAATGCAGTACCTTTTGGAATTAATTTTTTCAAAGTTTATTTAAATATTTTAATTAACAATAACATGTTAAGACAATTTCATCAGAATCTGTTAATTAAAATGCTTTTTTTTTGGTCTAGCCATTCCTTACAGTTTACAGTGCCACAATAATTTTATAAAGAAAATAGATAAAATTTGAAAATAATCGTATTTTTGTGTTTGAAATACTTTTAAATTATTAAATAAACAGTATCCATCTTATATGAGTTACATGAACGGGAAGGTCTTTATCACCATGTATTATTGTATAAAGTTGTAGCATCTCATATAGACAATTTTAACAAATTATGTGCAGGTATTGTTACCATGTATTTAAAAAAATATATTTATGATACAACCACACAAAAAATAAAAAAAAAATTAAATAAACAACATTTTGTGTTCCAAGTGGGAATTTCGAGGGGAAAAAAGGTCGATTTGTATCTTTACTTGATATCATACAGGCAGACTTCGGAATCATAGTAACAACGATTGGTAAATCTGAAAAGTAAATTAATGTTTCTTCAGAAATTATACCATTTTCGAAAGAATATTAACGAATATAAAAAGAAACATAATAGCCTCAAATTGATTGAAATATGGAGAACAACAGTATTCAAGCTTAAATCTATAGAAACAATTAAAATCGGGAGCAGATCAAACAAGGACACCCAAAATGTGGGATCAGATGACAAAGAGAAGAGTGCATCCTCTACTGACAGATCACATCCGCCATGTGTTCCTTGTCGAGATCCGTAAAAACGGGAAAATCCGTAGACAATTTAGTGTGTAAATAATGACCTATCTATTACATGTACTTTGAAAAAAAAAATGCTGCATTTGACTGAAGGTTGTTTTTGCTGATAAGGTAATTGTACTGACCATAACACTTGTATAAGAACATCTTCAAATGGGACTGTTGATATCCTTATGTTTGCCGACAGCTTCCCTCGTTTTAGAAATTGTTCATACGTAGAGCATTTTCACAATGTTTTTTCGTATCGAATCAACTGAGACATGTGAGAGACGTAAACCCCTTTTGCAGTTGATAAGGGTATATTGCTACATAAGTAATTAAAGGAAACTGACGATTGGAAAGTTGAAGCCATCACGTTTATCATAAAACTTTTTTGGTTATCATAGATGTGTTTTTTTTTTGTTAAATATCCACATATGGAACATATGGGTCGAACTAGTGCCAATTGATAATGAGCCGTAAATATGGAAGAACTCTTTCTTAAGAGATTGTCTTAGAAATATTTCTTTTATATTCTAATGAAAAGTTGAGATATCTTGCCAAAGATCAAGATGTTCAAAAATTTATTTTTACAATAGCTCCAAAACTATGTGAGGTATAAAGTTAAAACTTTTACAGTGTATAATTATATCATTGATTAACAGATAGAAAGTAATATTTGAATACACTTTTTTTTAAATATATATTTTGAGAAAAAATGTATAAAAACTTTTGCATATTTAAAAATTTGTTAAAGAATATGCATTTTTTAAAAAGAATTTTTCTCAAAAATGTTCATTTTTTAGTATTTGTCATCAAGTCATACTTTCTATCTGTTAATCAATGATACATGTATATTTATAAACTGTAAAAGTTTTAATTTTGTAAACCACATAATTTTGGATGTACTGTAAAAATAATTTTTTAAGCATTGTTGACCTTTGGTGAAACCTTAATGGTGGCCAAACACTGGTCCAAAAGTATACTTGAATCCACACGTCATAGGAAATCATGAATCTTAGCAATTTAAAGGATGTTGTCCTGTTGTTTTATTGAAAATTATTTGAAAGGCTTTGCATGAAATTTAGTTTTTGAAGAAAATTTAAAAAGATTTTTGCAATTACAAATGATAAATTGTATTTGCTGACAACGTCATTGTATCGACCATAGAACTTACGAAATGATGACTTTAAACGATACGTCTGATATTCTTGTTTCATCAACTTGCTTGTGAATAATTTACCTCGTTTAAGAAATTGTTTATACGTAGAGCATGCTCTTGCGTATCGAATCAACTGAGATATATATACTCCGTATGCAGGTGATGAAGGTATATTGCTGCATAAGTAAGGGAAGTTGACGATAGAAAAGTTAAAGTCATCACGTTTATCATATAGCTTGGTTGTTAGATTACCATTAGTGTCTTTTTCAAGAAATGACAGAATTATATGTATGAAGAACACATTTTGATCAGAAAGCTCACCATAGCATTTGGCTCTTATCAGTAAACATTTATAGATTTTTAAAAAAGATATTTCTTTTTATACATGTACATTTTTTCAATGTACAATTCTTAGAAACTTGGGGTAAAATGAAAAGGTATATCCCGGAATTATTATACTTTTATGTAAATTACTTGACTATGGAGGCACATTTCTGCCCCTACATGCTAGATAAATTATGTCAACATGCAAGGAAAATACAAGTATGTCAAAATGCAAAATAATCATTTCTACATGCAAGAAAAAACAAGATGTGTTTGTGAAACACTATGCTTCCGGCGGCCACAAAGTTTGAAAAAGCATTTTTAGCATATAGGTCACAGTCAAGGTCAAAAGGTCATTGACCTTAGCAATTGGTGTCATTTGAAAGAACTTAATAAGTGAAGTATGCATTCCAAATCGGAAGTCTCCATCTCTTATGGTTCAAAAGTTCGAAAATGCTATTTTTAGCATATACATGTAGGTTACAGTCAAGGTCACAAGGTCATTGACCTCGGTGTCATTTGAAAGAACTTTAATTAGTGGAGTATGCATACCAAATCTCAATCTCTTTCGGTTCAAAAGTTATTGCGAAGGTTTAAGTTGACAGACAGACAGAGAGACAAGCAGACAGACAGGACAAAAACAATATACGCCCCGATCTGTCGATCCGGGCGCATAAATATGTTAACATGCAAGATATACCAATCTTATTAGAGAATGGTTTAATTTTTGCTGTAACGCGTCATTTGATCGGATAAAAAATTAATCTGAATTGTATAACCTGGGTTGCCTATGTCACAATGACCTACGTTAAAAACGAATCGATCTGCTTGACGTTATGTTTAAAACTTGAACAATTTGAAGACTTTTTAAGGAGAAGTTGTTTTGTTATCTATACTTAATGATTGAAAATAAAAATATAAGGAATGAACTAAATAGCAACTGGTATAACTGTATACTGTAACTGTATACTGGGTTGGAGCACTTTACACTTTTTTATAAACCGCATCGCCCCGACCCAGGTTACACAGTGTAACTTGGGTCACTAACGAAGTTCGTTCCTCAGTTTTTCAGCAGATTTTTGTCTTAACCTCTATTTAAAAAATCTACATACTTCTTTTAGTACCTACAATAAATTTGGATTCTATAGTGCCAATTTAACTGTCTTCAATTAAAATCCCATGATTAAATTCCATACCGAACACATTTGATGAGGAACTATATTTTGTGGCTTAACGTTTTTTTTTTCATAGAAGAAATATTTTTCCTCTTTCAAAATAATCAGTATTGTTAAAGGTACTTATACACAGATTCGAAGTCAATATTTTCTCTATAATATTACGACTTACATATTTTAATAGCATTTCACACAAAAATTAAATATCCTATTTCATTTAAAAGGTTATTAAAACTTAAAAATTTTTGGCGGGTTTGATTGACACATCCTTGCACTTTTAAAAATTTCAACCTTATTCTTAATCCTTAAGAAAATTTGCAATCTTGTTTTGTATTAATGAGAAATATTAAAACTTTTATCAAGAAAAATAATTTAATTTAGAGTTGAAATGTTAGAAAGCAAAACTCCTTCACAAGTATCGTCATTCCGAACTAACAGTCGCATACAGAGTTTAGCAAATCGAGCACACTCGTGTTATGTACACAGTTTTTGTAAACATGGCACGAGTTCTGTTATTGTTGATGTTTACAATTCACCGGGTGCGTTCAATCGTCACAATCTGCTTACCACAACTGCACGGACTTGAAATATATTGTGTTTTTTTTTTTTTTTTTTTTTGCTTTCGAACATATCTACTCTGAATTTTTTGGATTATAGAGTATTAATATTTTTCATTTATACACAACGAGATTGCCACTTTTCCCAAGGATTAAGAATAGAATTAATTCGTGAAAGTGCAAGGATGTGTCAATCAAACCCGCCAAAAAAATTGAAATTTTAATATCTTTTATATGAAATAAAATTTTTAATTAATTTTTGTGTGAAATGCTATTAAAATAATTAAGTCGTAATATTATAGAAAAAGTGATAACTTCAAATCTGTGTCTAAGTACCTTTAAGTTTGGATTCCTATTTTGTACACGTGGCTTGCACAAAAGAGTTATTTTGTGCAGTGAAATGGTCTATGCTGATCCTAAATTATAAATTAAATTTAACTTTCATGAATTCTATCGACATATTTGGCAAATAATATCAAATAAATCGTGAAAGTCCTTTAAAAAAAGCTTTTATTATTGCTAAAATTTAAGCTTAACATTAGCACTATTTTTATAAGTAATATCTAAAAATTAACATTCATACCCCCTCTTTTTATTTCATTTTCTGAATATATTAGAAAATTTTAACCAATCTGGTTAAATTCAGAAAATTGACGTATGATTGCGTCCATGACAAAAGGGTGCTTATGGCTTTTTTACTAAAACAAATAAATAATGTCTTAAAGATGTGACGTTAAAGATTGACGGTGAACTTCGAGGCATATTTTTTATCCTCATGACGTTTGACGCATCTAAAGTTTTTATTATTGTTTCCAACATATGGAATTTATCTTGATTTATATATTAATTTAATTAATATCTGAATTTTCTAATCCATCGATTTCAATAAATATGAAAAATTTAGAATTATGGTTTCTTAAACATATCAATAATACCTCTCTAATTTAAGGCCTATACCACTGAATAGCTTTCCTAAAGAAACTTTAGACTGTGGGGCGCCGTTTTAATAAATTTAAGGTATTTTTTGATATCAAAAAATCATTTTGTGTTATCAGAAATTCGATTTTTTGATGTCAAAAAATCATTTTCTGATATCAGAAAATATATTTTTGCATATCAAAATTTAAACGAAATATTTTGATTTCAAAAATTCGAATTTCTAATATCATAAAATCATTTTTTGAAATAAAAAAAATCGAATTTCTGATATAAAAAAATCTTCGGGATTGTATCATATCAAAACAGAATCTTTGATATCAAAAATTCGAATTCTTGATATTTAGAAATATGTCATTTTCTAATATCAAAATTCGAATATCTGATATCAAGAAATCATTTTCTTAAATAAAAAAATCGATTTTCTGATATCAGAAAAATGATTTTTTGATATCAGAAATTAAAATTGATTTCTTGATATCACAAAGTATATTTTTTATATCAGAAAATGGATTTAAAAAGTGAATAATCTTCACATAAATGATAAATACTCCCTTAATCTGTAGAAATCCCATACTTCATTGCCAAATTTGCTTTCCACTAGAATTTGTTGATTTCACATTTTAAGATTTTTTTTAATGTAAGAATTTAATAAGCTCGATATTTTGATTTTTTTTAATAACAAGAATTCGATTTATTGATGTCAGAAGATACAAGTAATTATTTTTTTGATATCAGGAATTTAAATTCTTGATATAAAGAATAAATTCTTGATATCAAGAATTCTTTATTCTTTTTTGCTATCAAAAATGATTTTCTGATATCAAAAATTTGATTTCTTGATATCAAAAAACTATTTTCTGATATCAGAAAATTAAAAAGGTTTTTTAATATCAAAAATTAGAATTCTGTTATCAGAAAATAATTCTGTGATAACAAGAATTCATATTTTGGATATCAGAAAATGATATCAAAAATATTTTTTTATACAATAATTATTTTTGGAAATCAAGAATTCAAATTATTGATATCAACAATTTCTTTTTCGATATCTGAAAATATCTCAAAAATATTAAAACGGCGCATCAAAAAAATTTTATTTTCTGATATCAAAAAATCTTGTTTATTTTCGTATATCAAAAAAGCATTTTGTTATATCAGAAAATGATTTTTTTTTTCATTTCAAGAAATCGATTTTCGAAACAGTATCAAAAATTCTTGATATCAAAAAATAACTTGTACTTTCATTTAATATCAGATATTTTTTTATTAATATCAGAAAATAGGTTTTTGATATCAAAAAATGATGAGTATTTTTCTGATATCACAAAATCGATTTTTTGATATCAGAAAATAAGAACCAAGTAAACTTCCGATCGACTTAATGAATGCTTCCCGTGATTAACATTCAGAATCCTGTCACACAAATTTATTGTGAACTTTGTTGGGCTCTAATAAGTTTAGGACATGTCTGGATGTTAGGATGCCGTCGTCTTTTCTACAGTGTTCTAAAACGTCGGGTTTTTTTTCACTATTGACTATATTTTTAATCATTTATTTCGCACACAAAACTTAAACACACACTTTATGGATAGCTCAGACTTTACATTGAAGAATGAACTTCTGCGACCACAAAACGAGTACTTGCTGGTCTTAAAATCTGAAATCAACAAATTTTAGTAGAAAGCAAATATAGCACTGGTGTTCTGGATTTTCTACAGTTCAAGAGAGTATTCGCTATTTATGTGAAGATTTATCGCCATTTTATTTTATTTTGTATATACTTTGTGATATCAAGAAATAAGTTTTGATTTCTGATATCAAAAAATTATCTTCTGATATTAGAAAATCGATTTTTTAATTTCAGAAAATCGAATTTCTGATATCAGAAAATGGCTTTTTTTTTATATCACGAATTCGTATTTTTATTATCAAAAACTTGAATTATTGACATAAAATCCCGAAGATTTTTCTGATATCCGAAAAGGAATTTCTGATACCAGAAATTAGAATTTTTGTTATCAAAACTTCATATTTATTTTCTGATATAAAAAAATCATTTTCTGATATCAGAAAATGATTTTTTATATCAAAATTTTTAAATCTGATATCACAAAATAATTTTTGATATCAGAAAATAACATTAAAATATAAAAACGACACCCCATAAATTTCTGATATCTGAAAATAATTTTGAGATAACAAGAATTTGATTTTTTGATATCAAAAAATGATTTTCTGATATCAAATATTTATTTTTTGATTTTTTTTTCAAGAATTAATTTTTGATTTTAAAAAAAATATTTTATGATATCAAGAATTTTAAGTGTTAAAATCAAGAATTTCTTTTTTGATATTAGAAAATACCTCATATTAGACAAGTTGTTTTTCTGATTGGATATTAGACGTGTTTAGATATAATCACATTTTATCTTGATATTTAGATCTAGATTAAGATTTAGACAATGACCTTGTCAGCAAATACAATTTGTCATTGAGTCAAATGCTGACTGACGTTTTTCATACTAATTGTTAGTCCATTGTTTATACACTGAATTGATGACAGATTTTTCAGTCATTTCCCGATCATGACAAGGAGCACACGGCGGGTGTTACTGGTCAGCAGGGGATGCTCACTCCTCCACGGCACCTAATCCCACCTCTGATGTTTCTGAGGTCCGTGTTTGCCTTGCTCCTGATTTGTATTGTTTTATGGACTTCATTATTGAATACTGTTCATTATCTCCATATCCTGCCTTAGACCAGTTTAAGGTTACCTATAAAACAGGGGTTTATTGTTAAACTATTGCAAAGAAAAATGGTTTTTCTTTGTGATGAGATCTGCTCCACCAATCACATGTCGATCACATGTAAACACTTATTCATACGTGCATGCTGCTTAAACTTTTCTTAAATTGTTTTTTACTAATGTTTAAACTAAACATACATCTTCCAAGCTTTCAGAAATCTAGCAAAAATTTGTAAGAATAAATGAAAATATTTGTATTTTCTATAAATAAAAACAGGAGAAGTAACTATGACAATCGATGTAAAAGGGGTATGTGGCAACGCACTTTGAAAAAATTTTTTAAAGTGTGCTAAAATGGGGAACAGTAGACACCAGGACATTTATACTTCACATATGTTATGTTTGTTAAAAGATCTTTCACTGGATACCAACAATCTTGACCCTTTGACCTTGACCTTGGAGATTTTTGTACCTCTGAAAAAAACTTTAACCTTGGCTATAACTTTTGAACAATAGCTACTACGGCTTTCATACTTCACATATATAATTCTGATAAAAAGACCTTTCATTGGATACCAAGAACCTTGACCCTTTGAATTTGACTTTGGAGTTTGACCTACTTTAAAAATACAACATTGACCATATTTTTGAAGAGTTCGGGCTAGGGCATTCATACTTCACAAATTTAATCCTTGTGACAAGACCTTTCATTTTATATCAAGAACTTTGACCCTTTGACCTTGACCTTGGAGTTTGACTTACTTATTACAAAGTTTATCCTTGACCATAACTTTTGAACAGTATGGGCTTGAGCTTTCATATTTCACATGTGTAATCCTTGTGACAAGTCCTTTTATTGGATATCAAGAATCTTGACCATTTGACTTTGACCTTAGAGTTTGACCTACTTTTTAGAATTAGAAACTTTAACTTTGGTCATAACTTTTGAACGGTAAGGGCCAGCGCTTTCATACTTCCCATACGTAATCTTTGAGACAGAACCTTTCTTAAGAACCCAACAACCTTGACCCTTTCACCTTGAAATGCAGTTTGTCCTGTATTATAAAATGTTAACTATGGTCATAACCCTGGAACAGGTGTAGCTAGCGTTTTATATTTCGCATTTCTTGTAAAAAGGCCTTAATTGGTATCAACATATTTGATCTGCATTTGAGAAAGCTTAACCTTCGCTATGTTGCCATACGGGGGCATCAGTGTTTCACAAACACATCTTGTTTCAAAGTGCGTTAATATGGTCGATATTAACGCACTTTGAAAAGACATTTTATTTTTCAAAGTTCGTTGATTTGGTCCCAATTTTTTTTCAAAGTGCGTTGTAACAGGGGTACCAGAAAGGGACAACATTTCAGCTGCATGCTCTGAATTACAGAGGTCGTGTCCTGTTTACAAAAACAGTTTATATTTCACGGTTGTATTCAATTTATTTAAGTCTGTACAAAACACTGAGCACGGACTGACGATACTAGTGAGGGGTTTTACTTTACAGTTCTTCTCTGAATTTTCTGTTTTATAGTTTTTAAATAAAAATCATAATTTGTGAAAGTGCAAAGTTGCGTCATTCAAAAAGTTTCAATAACTTCGAAATGAAAAAAAAACTTTTTTAAAGATATTTATTATATTTTCATGTGAAATGCTATTGCAATATATAAGTCGTAATACTATACAGAAAATTAGAGAAAATATAAGTTTACTTCATATCTGTGTCTAGGCACCTTTAGATCGGGAGAAAGCTTACAATACAAGAAATACCTAGGAATACTAGTAAATGAAATGAGCGACAAAAAATCGGCGGCGTAAATTGAAGGTCTTTACAAAGCATGGATCTGTAGCTCTCTGCTTCATCTTTCCGAATTTTCTCAAGCAGAGAGCTACAGTGTTGCAGCTATTGTATCCGAAGACAATTTTTTTTTACGAATTTTGAGTAAAGAACCTACTTAATACAAACATAAGGTCTACGGGGATTGTGACTGTTTAATGAGAGAGACTTACTCCCCCATAGGCATACGATCTCATCTCTGGACTTTGCTGGTGACCATATTTATTCTATCATCTAAACATCTAGCGCCTAAAATTATCCGAATCGATGAAAAAGAAGACACGAATGAACACAAAATCGAAAAAATGCATACCTGCTGCAATGCAATCCCGTGCTAATCTTCCTGCTTGTTAATTCCTGTAACTATTTCCTGTTCAAAAAAGAACAAAGTTGTTAAATGTTGTTAATTAAGACTTCATTACTATCCAATTACCCCTAAAAACAAATCATCCTTGGTTATTTTATTATCTTTTCTAAGAAAAGGGTGCTGATGAAAAAATTTAAAGAATTGCAAACCATTCTTTAAAAATATAAACGTACTTCTTTGGGCCCATGTTACAGTATGCCCATCCATCACAAATTAACTCTATTGAATCATCATTAGTTCCGTTCAGTTTATTTCACCAAAACCACACTTAATTAATAACATATATACATTATATACAATATATACAATCAAGGTCTAATAATTTACACATGCATCGTCTTATTTAACAATTTTTGTAAATTTAAATTGTTATTTGCCATCTAATTCTTAAACTTGATCTTTTATTTTATTTATTTCTACTGAAGTAACCTCTTTTCGCTTGATAAAGAAATCAACTTTTCCCACGCTAATTGAACGATTTTTTTTCTTTGGTACTTATAGTCTGTTACGAAACAATTCAAACGACGCCATGCATTTTGATCTTAAGACCTCAACATAACCTTTGGGCTACTTGAAAGCTACATCATTTAACGATCAACATGTGATATCTCACATGATTAAAAGTTTTTAGTTGCAGAACTTGCTTATATATATTAAACTTGTTTATATATTAAACTTTTCTATAAAAATATTCATATTTGAATCGCATGAAATGGATTTGATTTTGAATTTACTGACTTTGTTGAGATTATTTGAGAGGGCACACTAACAACTAAACTGTGTGACAAACGAGATGATTTCAAATTCTCTGTCGTCAACTATCCTTATTTGACTCGTTATATCACGTCATCACCTGTTTTTGCTGTGACCATCTCCCAACTTATTTCATGCTTAAGAGTTTGCTCCAAGTATGATCCTTTTTAACTGAGGCAGGTTTCTGTCAGATAAGTTGACGATACAGGGATTTCAACAACCTCTTTTAAAGTCAGTATTTCCTAAAACGTATGGTCAATATAATGACCTTGCTAGCACGTATAACCTATCATTGGGTCGGGTCGTATTTTGCCTGACTTCATATCAATTGTTAGGCTTTTGTTATGACTCCGAATTCGAAGATTTGTATATACTTTTTGCCTTTGCCGTCGGTCTGTCGGATTGTGCGCTAAATTTTAACCTATCTCATAACTTTGAATGGAAAAAGCTTTGCTAATATATTTCTTAAATGTATTTCTTATTACAAGACCTTTCTTTAGGTACCACCAAATTTGACCAATTGACCTTTGAATTTGACGAACTTAAAAAAATTACTAAAGAATAAGCTTGGCTATAACTTTTGAAAAGTTGATGCTAGGGCTTTATTACGTCTCGTTTGCATTTTTTGACGAGGCATTTCATTGGATGTTAATTTTTTTTCACTTGACCTACGAATTTCACCAACGTACACATTTAACTTGAACCTTGGCCATAACTTTTGAACAGCTAGCGTTAGGACATTCATTTTCACAGGTGTATCCATTGCGAAAAAATTTTTTTGATTCTAACAATTCTGACCTTTCATTCTGAAGTTTGACTAGCATTTCAGAAACTTCAACACTCGCCATAAGCTGACATACAGGGGCACAACTGATTCACAAATACATGTTGTTTTTATTCAGTAATTGACTACGGAATATTTTGTCTACCTGATCAATTTATATGGCTCACGGCGGGTATGACCGGCCAACAGGGGATATTTTCTCTTCCTAGACACGTGATGTCATGTGATGTCACGTGATGTCACCTCATGAATTTCCAGAGCTCCATGTTAATTTTCTTTTCATATTTATGTATATTATATGTTTGTTTATTTTTTTTATCAAAGAAAGTACAATGACATACATATAAATATTATAATATTTCAACCATTAAATCCTTTTTAATTGATTATTTGGAACTCGTTAATTTTTTATCTATTTTGTCAGTGGTCGTTTGTTAAACGATTCTGATGGCATACACAAGTACTCTAACGTTGATATGAAAAAGATGCTCGAGTTTTTGATTAATTATATCTTTTATAGAAATCAGTTCTTCCAACAATCTGTCGGAATTGCTAAGGGTACCAATTTAACACCGTTATTAGCTGACATTTTTTTTTGGTATTCAAATAAAGAAAAATTAATTCAAAACTGAAGAGAAAACTTGCTGACCTTCAAAGATACATTTACATACATCGAGGATGTATTATCAATTAACAATATTAACAATAGTAACTCCCATTCATACGTCGACTCGATATATCCTAGTAAGCTTGAAATAAAAGATAAAATAGAGTCTGACAATTTGTTTCATATTTGGATATTTTTCTTGAAAAATACATTAAAAATAGCCCGACAACCAAACTTTATATGTTTATGTTTAACGTAATGAACTGGGCATTAATTTTTTCTGTCGTCAGCCCACCTTACCTGCATGTGTGGCAACTGTATCTTTGTTATCTGCATATGGGGTTTATCAAAATGGGTTTTCTGTTTAAACGTTGCATTTATGAAAGTCATAAGAAAAGTCTACTTCATAAAATATACCGGTATTTCAATCATTGTCTAATTTACGGGGAAGATGAAAGATTCAGATTGATCACTTATTTTTTGATTTACATGTATAATCTAAAATAAAACAATCGTTTTCTATTGTAAACCCCTTTTTCTTCGCCCAAGACAACTTTCAAATTATAAATGAGTAAATATAGATGTAAATGATTGTACGTTATATTGATAAAATATAAAGAATTTACTTTTGGATTTAATTCTAACTTGTATTAAAAGATGATATTAACATTGTATACCCGTGGTGTTTGAAAGAGTTTTTAAAATTTTAAAAATTCTAATTATTGACAAACAAGTTGATGAAACAAGAATATCAGCAGTCTCGTTTAAAGAAATTATTTCGTATGCTATGGTCGATACAATGACCTTGTCAGCAAATACAATTTATGATTGACTGACGTTTTTCATACTTATTGTAAGTCCATTATTTAAACACTGAATTGACGACGGATTTTCCATTTTTTCCCAATCATGACAAGGAGCACACGGCGGGTGTGACCGCTCGGCAGGAGATGCTCACTCCTCCATGGCACCTGATCCCACTTCTGATGTTTCAGAGGTCCGTGTTTGCTCTGATCCCATTTTGTATTGATTTAATGACTTTTGATCTTGAATTCTGTTCGTAATCTCCATATATTTCATTATAAAAACAGATACTTGTAATCAAAAGTTTTTCACACCAGATTTATATGTGAACACGATTAAAATTACATATACATGTATAGATACAATCCAATTGTTGTCTCCCTGTTTTCATATGGTAAGGATTATTAATTAAGTTGTTCGTAGATATTATTATCTTTTTTGTCTAAAGTATGTTAATGCAAGATATTTTGGTTGTTAAAAAGATTCGAGTCTGGTCGTGTTTAGTCAGTCGATAGGAATGCCTAATATGGCTGTTCATTAATTTCAGTAGGTTGCTTATGCATATATTCGTTTCGCTTTCGGTGCAAACCTTTTAAATGACTAAGAAGGGCCCCCTTTAGGTCTCTGTAAGTTTATATAAAATGTTTGCTCGTTCTATGAATCAAACTGAACCACACAAATCACCTTTTTAAAACCCCGGATAGTTGAAACAGGAATACGAAAAGCAGATTTAATAATAAAAAAAAATTAAATGTACATTTTGTACTAAATGACTTGCTTTTGTTATTTTTGAAGTGTTTTTAATCAAAAATATCATCTGGATTTTTTTTTCCATTTCCTATTTAATGAGAACCCGATAAAAATAATGTTTACACTTCATAGGACAGATCAATGGAATACTAGTATTCACTTTTCAAGTGTACATCCAGATTTCTGCTGACTTCAAATCAAATCGCCCTCGATCTTTGGAAGACATATCAACTAGTATTAAATTACAGTCTAATTAAGTAGTTTTGCGTTTTAGAAAGAAAAATCATTTCCTATATTAAAATAATTATTTTAACTGCATTTTTAAATAAATTATAAATATGAAATTAAAAAAAAAACATCGATTTTGCATACTTTAGAATAATAATACTCTTATGTTACAAAACGATAAGTTTTGTTGTAAAGCCTTTCCATTGAGAATGAAAGAAAGAAATGTGAGAGTTAATTCTGAAATAAGCAACAATGAGATACTGTGTTCTGATAAGCTTTTAAACGTGTTACTACCTCTTGTGTCACATTTGCAATCCTCTTTCATATTCCAGCGATAAGGATTCCATTTTCTATGAATGTTTATTACGCATTCTGGTAAACCGTGAACAACCACACCATCGATAGGACCATTTTCTAAATCATTGAAGGTTATGTAACCCGGATTATACAAATTTCTTCCACAGTTACATATCCTCTTGAAAATGTGGAGCGTTACACGTCTTTTAGACCCCCTTGGTCTTCTTTTGATAGTAAAATGGTAAAAATAACAAGATTCATCATAGTGATTTTCCTGCACCCTGCCATCACTCATATCAGCTGTTTCAAAGAACTCAGAAGCATCTGAAAAGTCAGTCATATCTAGATTTTATGAGGTGTGAATTTGTGTTTCTTTTTGGCTTGTCTTCTTATATTAAGCAAGTCATCTGAATGTTATGTCATTGGTGCCTTACTGCGCATGCGATGGGTGTAAATCTTGGATTTGTACACGTGGCAAATAAAATCTTCATTTCTAATTCTGACATTTAAAAAGTGGACTACATGAATCAATGCAAAGAAATAATTCAGAAATTCTAATCGAATAAACTCAAAAGCATTAGAAATGACAAAAATTAAAATACTACCTATCATTAAAATATCACAAACCATATCAAATGGCTCAATGTTTTAAAACACGAAAGAAAGCAAGAAAAATGTATTGAACAGTTTTCTGTCTAGTTCGATTCATGGCCCACTCCCTTGTATAATACCGCGCTAAAATATGTTATATTTTATTGATTTAGGTTCAAGTCTTCCAGAGAATATTTATTCTAAACGTTTTAGATGTGACTAAATCAAATATAGAAAAGGAGAAACTTACTGATAGTTAAACAAGGGCAATATTTCTTTAGCCACAGAAATTCGTGTACATTTTACCATCTTTCAAATCAAAGGGAAGCGTGGAAAATCTAGTAAATAATTTTGAAAGGCATTTTCATTAATTTTATATCTAATTGAAATATAGGTTAATTACAGATTCATATGTATTTGCCATCGTATCGTACGATATAACATGCAATTTTGCCACTAAAAGAAGACCTTTGATTGTTAAAAAAAAGTTCAAAAAAAATTGCATAAAGCGTATTCGTAAAATTTTAAAAGACAACAATTTGTCAATCGTTTTAAGCTGCAAACAACATGAATGCATTAGAAGAGCTCTGATTAACACAACAAAAACCCATTTTCAGCAATCATTAACGAGTTTATAACGTGATTTTAATGTAGGGACATAATAAAATGTTCATACACAAAGACTGGCTGAAAAAATTGCTTTCATTTAAATATTGTTTTATAAGAATTAAAGACGTGTGTCAAGCATACGTTTCACTTCTGACTATGTATTTAAAGTCTGTTCTCATTTTTTGGTATTAAGACTTAATTTTTTTAATTTGATTTTTTTTTTGAAAAGATCACGCTTTTTGAAATATCGATTCGAGTTAGAATTTTCCAACAGTGTAAATACAGAAAAGAATGCTTCATTGCAAAAATACATATCACCTACTTGATGACCTCTTTTGACAATAGCAATCCATTTGACGTTGTTTGACTGGGTGACCACCTTTTCTCTTTGGTGGCCTTCTGACATGACATTCCGGCCTGCCATGAATTTCATATTTGTATTGCCTGTGCCTTTGTGCATCAAATCTTTCTGTTCCTTTCAAGCCTATTAGACCATAAAATTTTTCAAATATCCAGGATATATATCCACTATCTTGACTTTCTCGGGGGATCGTCTGATAATATTCCAAATTACTTATATCACTCATATTTTCTTAATGTGTAAAGAATTAATAAATTCGAAGGCAATGATTACCAATACATGTATTTATTTCTGTAACATAAAAAATTTAAAACAGTCCAAAGTATTTATACCAGCTAAATGCTAGAAATTATATATCCTATCGCAATAATTAATTGGCACAAAGACAAATTTTAATCGGAATAACCGAGTGTATTAAATATATAGATTTTTGCTTTGATGTGTGACTATTTCTGTCGAGGACGTCATATTCTTTTTTCAAGAACATCTTTTATAAACTAAACACCTTTGTATAAGAACGTGTTTTAATTTCATTTACTTTTTCCTTGCCAATATATTCCAGAAAAAAAGCATAAAACTCGATTTATTTGGTATGGACCTGCATTAAACTTGTTAATATAAAAAGACAACGTATGCCATAGTAAAAGAAAATATAAGTTGGAAAGACTTGCAGTCTCCCATAAAATCTTAAACATAAACTATGTCAAATAAATGTTCAATGTGAGATTATTCTAATAGATACACTGTAGGTTATGGTTTCTCGCAAACGGAGGGGTTTTTTTTAATCCCAAAAGCTGTCCTCTTGCAAGTCATTTTCTTAATTAATCTCTGCAAATGTCGTAGGCAATAATAAATTACGGCATTGTTATTAAAGGATGTTTAATGAATGTGTAGTATCTAAATCTATACTTTTAAATTCCTCTTCAACTTTTGAAATATTTGAATGCCAAATAATACAAGACTAATTATCTTCATAATCAGAATTTCTTAAACTTCTTAAATATTGGAATCTATGTTTTCCTTCTGATATTTGCAGCGAATAAAATTATTGGCATGGGGAAACTTCTAAGACGTGGACTTAAACTGAGAATGTTTTGCTTACTTTGCAACAAATTATTCGGAATCCTCTAGAAAGGCACTATAAAAGCAGGAAGGTTGCAAAACATTCATGTATAAACAATAGTTTATCAAAAAAAACATGTTGCAGATTGAAAAGTAGGAAATAAGCAAAATGCATAAACAAGGAAGACCATAATATAAATTGCCAAATGATGGAATAGAAATGAAAAGAACTTGTCCTGATGAAATCTTTGAGGGAAATAGCTTATGCCTTTTCGTGAGTGTCTTATTTTGGATGTGTCTTTGTGACCTGAATTCTTAAGATGACGTACATGTGTATATCATAATGAAGAAAGTAAAAGAGAAATAAAAATGTTACTAAAAGTTCAAGGTTATTTATTGAAATATCCATTTTTTTAACCATCGATCTTAATCACAACTAGAGGTACTGTGAGCAATGAGCTCACTAAATGATACCCCCCGCCTCCCATATGGTTATAACTGTGACAAAGTCCATGTTTTGCCGTGGCCGGGAAACCCAAAATATGTGTCAGATCAAGAAGTAAAATAGGAGGTGCACAATGGCAATATGTAATAAAGATTCTCTGAAAGTTTCATTAAATTTCATTCAGTGGTTTAAAAGGAGTTGCGGATAAGAGATGGGTACCCTAAAGCGTAACAGACGGACGGACGTACAGACGGACGGACGGAAGGACGGACGGACGGAATTAACGATTACTATATACCCTCCCGCTTTTCAAGCGTGGGGTATAAATATATGAAACATGGATAACTTTTCAAATGCTAAACAATAACGTTTACAACATATTATTAAAGGATCCGCGTGATTGTTCGTAATTCCAAATATTAGAACAATGGCAAAGGTACGCTCGTGTCCTGACTATGATCAAAGCTATTTAAAACTTCTTACCTGGATTTATTAATAACTTTTCTGGGATTTTTATTTTGTCTATAATTGGGACCAGATAAGATGATCATGTTTTACAAGTTCTCTATACTACATCTATGTAACAATTTTTTTTCCAGTTTATTGTTTGAAAAGTGATTGTTGTGATTTCCTCTACAGTCTTAAAAATGAGGAATCCGAAGTCTAGATTTAACACACTATAAAAAAACAATTATAAAAGTAGATGCTTAAAATAACTATCAAAAACCTTATCAAGTTTTACTGAAACTTTTTTTTTCAGAAAATACTTTTCTGGGTACTAAGATTAAAGGTCACTTCACATACAAAAGGTTTGGGAAATTCATTGTAGGTCAGTTGATATAAATATGTATCTTTCTTGATTTAATATAGGGGGAAATTTTTAGCTGGGTTTATCGCTTAAATTGCGATGGTCGGATATTAACAACCTGTTCAAGCAGGAAGTTGACCTCACAGAAAACAATTAAATTTACATGTAAAGAATATACATGTAGTACTTACTTCCAATCGCCTGCAAACGCTAAATAAAAAAAAAGATAAATCAGTTTTAGAAATTCTTTTGAAAATTTCAGTCCATAGTGAAACAGCTCTTTTAATATGAATAATGTTTTTATGGTCGTAGACTGGTTCAAGACTGGTTCTACACAAAGAGAAAAAGAAAATTGGAACCCATGCTTATCGGTGCCAGGTTATATCTATCCAGTTAAATTCGAACCCTGGTTTAAGTTCTTAAAAATACCGAGTAGATAAAGTTTACATTTTTAAATTTTTTTTTTATTTGCATTCATAGATTTTTTTATTGTTTAAAAAACGTTATGGAACACTTGATTTTATTAGTAGCATTTTTGTTTGACTTACAGTACTATCAGTATTTTGATTTTTTTTTTACCTTAAGTTAATATATCTGGTGCAATGATAAAATTTAAAAAAAATATGGTTATTCTAGATGGCATATTCTAATATGATACTCTTTAATGGATCCATCAATAAACAACTGATCACTGAGATATTCTGTCCTTGAGTAGGTCTTAAAGAAATGTTTTAAACGTACCTAACATATTGGCTTTAGTTTTGCCTGATTATAATGGTTTATGGTCATTTTTAAAAGAGACTTATATAGTAAAAAGAGGCCCAGGAGTCACATTGCTCACCTGAGCACGTCAGCTAGAAAAAAGTAAAAATTAGTTCAAAATTGGAAAAAGTTTACAGAGGACAATTTTACACTACTTGATTATGTATTCATATTAATAAGCAAAAAAAGCTCAGAAAGATTTTTCCTAAACATTTAAACCCCCCTCTACTGTTGTGCCCCTCCCAAACCTTAAGAGTTATGATTTGAACACATTTGAATTTACACCACAGGATGATGCTTACAGGTCAAATTAACTAAACATGGCAACGTCAACTATTGTAAACTTAATTGTGTAAAATTAAAAGCTTATAATAGAAATTCCAGTTTTCTAAATATTAAAAATATTTTTCTTTTTTCTGACCGCAATATATCTGTCCAAGTTTTAGAATTATACTCTATTTATTCTTCTGAACTGACGAATTTTATTGATACAATAAACAGTTCTATGATAATATTGATTGAATTTAACAATTTTCATAAATAGTTTTGATAAATGGTATAACACAAGTGATATAAAATCAGCTATTCCAGAGCATGTTAACGTACGACACAATTTGCTTTCAAGCTTTGTGAATACTGAATGCCAAAATAATCCTTCATATCAACCAAATATATTTACATATCTTAATTACATTGGTTGCCGTTGCTTCTTGACAAATATAGTAATTGTGTATATGATGATGCATATATCTTTATGTACAAGTCTCTGATTTTCGAAAACTCCTTAAGACTTTAAACTACAGTAAATAGTGTATAAGTTCATGATAAACATTCACAAAAAATTGAGTTAGTTTGTTTTAAAGCTTTGTAAATAGATAATGCCAAAATATTCCATCATATCAACCAAACATATATACATAACTAGTTTTTATTGGCTGTCGTTGCTTCGCGTCAAATAAAGCAGTTGAGTATATGCCGCATAGATCTTCTTGTACCACTATTTGGATATTTTTTATGTAAGTGAAATGAATATTAGAAGGTATGTTAAATTTTACGCTAAACACTGGATTTTTTTAAATATCCAAACTTTTCATACTGGGAAGGGATAGAAAGGGGTTTAATGTAAGTAAGATATATATTTCTTTTTCATTTCAAAAAGATTTTTTTCTCATTTATTTGTTCATGTAAAAAAAATGTGATGAGATTTATTTGAAAGCTTGGCCTAAAGAAAATAAGTGGTATCTGTTTGTCTTTACTATCAAGCAGAATAAGGTAAACAAGCTTCCATCACTTCCATGGAGCTTGGTTTTTGAGTAAAATTAAGCACGACAAGTTAGCTTCCTTGTCAATTGTACATCTTATATGATTTATATTTGATCTCACAATATCACGAAAAGACTGTTCGAACAATCCTTTAGGAAGTTCCATTCAAAACACTACTATTTGCTCTTAATACAATTTCATCTGAAAATTTAACTTTTCATTTTGTGGTTTATCAATTAATAATTAAGTATCAATTTGTACAAGATAAAATTACAAATAGTTAATGAACTTTATTTCTACAAATACGCACTGGTGCATCGATAGGCGCGGTTAAAAAAAATTCACGTGCGGGCGAGACAAATAGAGACAGAAGTGAGGCTTAGAGCACGTTGATTGGCGGAATCAAGAGCATGTAAATATAATGAAAAACTGTCAGATGTTTTGATTTCATGACGATGATAAATCGATTGGCTTGCATAATAGGCGAAGGCGTTTATGCAAGTTATCACGCAAGCCACTTGATTGATCACATCATGAAACCAAACAATTAAACAGGTTATTCCTTAAAGAATATCAGAAAATCAGCTAGATTTATTACTTTTCTATCATTAATTGATAAAAAATATTTCACTTTGTGTCCAATTTACGTTTTAATTTTTGCCCTCTGATTGAATTTGTTTCTTTTCCCCCTGGATGTGACAGAGCCTAACGAGGCCTAAGTAAACCTTGCTCATTAATTCAGAATCAATCTACCGGGATGGGGGAGGTGATGGGTGGTAGTATCCATTTTTCATAAAGAAGTGTGTTTTAACATTTCCACATAAATACAAATGGTATGTTTCAACACAGAACTGATGAATAAGAATTACATCACTGGTAAAATGACAGAGTGGTCAGAAAGCCATATCTTTATTTCAATAACGTGTATGTTCCCTCTTTTACGGAGAATATATGATGTAACAAACGGTGACTACCTCTTTGCTTACAAAATATATTTTTAAAAGAATAAACAAACAATGTCAATGATAAAAAGGACATTTATTAATACCCAAATAAGATTGTTACTAAATTCACAAACAAATAACAACAGGTCTTGCTCAAATACATATTCATTTTCATGTAACATAAAATAGGCTTCGATGAAATTCCTCGAAAAACACAATAATATCTTTTTATTTATCTTTCTTCGAAGAGAATGCAAACTGTATGTATTCTAAGGAAAACATTTACAAAAAAAAGTTTCAAATGAACAAAGTAAGTCATATTTTACCTTTGTTGCAATGATAAAACTTTCACCACAGAATGATTTTAAACTTAAAGGAAAATTGTACAACTGAAAAAAAACACGTTTTGATGTTTAACAACGTCTTATAGACAAAAGCATGCACTCTGTTTACCACACATTATTATATACCATCCCAATTTTGAATTTGACAAGTTTGCTTTATTTACTTGGATTCATTAGGTAGGATCCAGTTTCTAGTTGTTATGGTGGCAATTCTGTTCAGCTTGTAGGGAGATCTATGGTTCTTGACTGTAGTCAAAAACAAAAAAAAAATCAAATAGCTTTAAAGAAAATAAACAGAAAATTAGACTTCGTGATAAGAGTAAAAATACCTTTTCTAATTGTAGTCTAAAACTCTTCCTATCGGTTTTATATCTTGGCAGTGACAAGACAACTCAAGCCTGTAATTAAAAGATGGAAAATCCTTCTTCCTAGTGATATACTCGCAGGCTTCATGATTGTGCACATCTACTCCGTCGAATGGTAGAACTAGCCTTCCACTGCCGATGTAATTATTATACAAAAGATTTTCTCTGTCTTCAAATTTCGCATTACACTTGCATATTCTCACGAATACAACTACTATTCGGCCGTTTTCATTAAGCTCTCCATATCGAGCCACAGCTTGGCACTCGTCGCTGCCATGAATTTCGCCATGCATGCACTTACTCAGTGAACTTAAAAAGACTTGGATAGAAACACCGCTTATATCGTGCCTACTCATGATGCAGTATATGTTGATTATTACTTATTTTTGCAAATTTCAAAGACTTGCTTCGTTATGACACATTTTTAAAGCCTTGTCTTATTTATATGTCTTTTGGCTTTGTGTATTAATTATGACGTAATTTTTTCAATAATTCTGTACTCTTCTGTTGGTTTTGATTGGCTAGGAATTTTCAGAAAAAATATGGAGTAATCTTCAAAGTATTTTAAACTAGGCAGCGTAAAAAGAATGTTAAAAATAAAGTCAAAATTCCCCGCGCTATTTTGGTATATATTAAACTATTGTTTGCTTAATGTTCAATAGATTACGATGCACTTTAAAATATACTTCTTTCTGTGATTTGATTCAAGAGAAGGCATTTCAGTTTATTAGACTTTATAACGTTATATTTTCTCTAATATTAAGATTATTTTTCTCAAGGTAGATTGGTGCTTTTTATGATACATGTACTCGAGTATACATGTCCATCCAAAATTTTACAACATTTTATAAATATTCAAACTTCTTTTAAGTAAATTAAACACTTGTTATTAAAACATTCAGATGTAAAGATATACTCAGGCTTAATAAATTTTTGCCAAGAAAAAGTAGCAATAAAATAAAAATGAAATAAACCTATCAAGTGCAAATGCAGTGTGCACAAATATCTAAGTACCCCGGTATATTCCTGATACAATTTTGTACAATGTATATGCGTCAGTAAACACATATTTGAGTTTCGTTTAAGCAGTTCACTGGTTTTCTTTTCTTTTTTTTACTTTGTTGTTTGTCTCTACATATTCTATGGTATTAGCCTTGTGGTGTTTCTGTTCATTGCTTTTCATGTCGTAAAATCTTGAATAAATTAATAACCTTCGATGAATTAGTTATTTTAAAGGTATTACTGTATGAAGTTGACTGTTTTAGTCTTTGATTATTGCTGCTCTATGTTAAACATTGTTTGGACTAGTAAAAAATCGGAAACTCTGATTCATCTAGTTTGAATTGGTATGTGTGGAAGAGCCTAATTAATACAAGAGGCCCAGGGGCCACATGGCTGACCCGAGTCTATGTTTGGGAATAAAGCAAAAATCAGTTTAGTATTAAAAAACTTAAATGCATGAGTGGTCCCAACCTACCCGTAAAAGGCAGAAGAGGTAAAGGGGAGGGGGTATGGTTTAAACAAACCTGAATCTACACTATCAGAGGATGCTTCCATATAAATATATTAATATATGTAACTTAACCCTTTATGATCAATTAGACTTAAATAAAGCAGAAGAAAGACTTCTATATACAATCCAATGTACAGTTTTATATAAGAAATCATTATTGTACAGGACGACAATAATGTCATTTTGATTCAATCTTACATGTAGCTTATAAATAGGACCTCCATCGCAAATATGGTTTACTTATTAACATTATTTTTTCTGTCATTGAAATTACAATTGTGAAACAAAAAATTACGACATCAAAGTTGCAGCTCACATTGCTTTAAAATTAGCCATTTCGTACTTTCGTTTGATCTTATATTTAATGTGTGCTTTTATTCTTAATTTGTACATTGACACACATCATCTCGTAAATACGTCAAAAATACAAAAAGGTCCTATCAAAAGGACTTTCATTAATCCTGGCAAAGGAACGGTATCTACATGTACCTATTTTTACGTCTTTGGTAACAAGGCGCCGAGGACAGGGATCAGTTCCAGAACCTTCCGATCACAAAGTGAACGTTCTACCACTATAGGTTTCCTCAAATCGGTAGTTTTTTTTTTTTAGAAGATATTATCCTTTTGTATATTTAATCCACAATAAGATACTTTTCGTTGCAATTTGACAAATAATTACGTAGTAATGGCATAAAAACATTTTATAAATTTGATTTTTTTTTTAAATATATATCGTGTTGATATGTAAATAATTGAAAACCAGAATTATTTCTTTTTACAATATCGGTATATGATACCTTCTGTTACACTTTAACAAATCCTTAAATAGTTGTGGCGCACAAAAAATTTATGATATGATTGTCAAATCAAATTTTCCATGCAGTTATGGTTTATCTTAAATTTGCGACAAACAGTTGGAAAACCATAGTAAATCATATTTTTAATCAATAAGTCATCTCCGTTGAGAAAATTGGAGGCCTATTATTTACTAAATATGACAACAATGCAAATAAAAAAGATAATTTATTCATAATAAAACAACTATAACAGTTTGATTTTTATAAATGACAAAAAGTACTTCTTGTCTGTATAACGTGCTAAAGAACCCAACATTTGTTAGAAACACACAAAGAAGACTTACATATAAAAACATATTTTAAGTATGATTCTGTCCTAATTTCAGCATTTTCCCTTTCCATTTAATTTTCGTTTTTCTGTGGTTAAGAAGGGTCATGGAATTAGGTAAACAAGGAACAAGTTGAAATAAGGATAAAATAGGACGAGATATCTGTCATTGAATAAACATATTAACAAAATTGTACTGTTGCCTAAACCAAAACATTTGGTCACCAGGAAAATACGTAAAACAGCAATGAACAATCAAAACGTCATCTCAAGTCTGACTGAATAAATGTAAATGAATTAAAGGTGTTTTTATACAAAACATTTAATGCAACCATCATCTTTTAAGTTTTATTTTATAGTTTTATTTACTGGTAACCTCTTCAACAAATACAAATTTTATTTATCTTATCTAAGTGGCCCGAATATTTTAGGTTATTAAATAAATGTAGAGAATACTAGTATACAAATGTTAAACAAAATTAATTTGTAACAGTACATGACACAAGTTTTGTTTCCGTGCAGTTTTAATAGAATGACATTTTCTATGGGTTTTGCCTGTGAATGTCGTAAACTCTGAATAAATCCAACTGACTTCCAAGGTAATCTGAAACAGTTTCTTCTACTCTTCCTCGTAACAAATTGATAGTTGATGCGTTTATAACCATATTCATCGCAAAATAATAAACACCATCACGTTGAACTTGATATTTTTTAATTACGTTTGAGTCATCAGTTTGGGTAAAAGGCTTTCTTCTCGTGAACTTTAGATTTATTGACGAGGACTTCCTTTTCGTTGATATGGCGGCCATTTTGTTCAGCTAATAATGTAGTAGTGTGGAGATTCTTGTCTGCCATTATCTACAAGTAATTTAAATTACGTGAACTATTTTCTGAGTAACTCAGAAATATATAAAAACGGAAAGTTTAACTTGAAGGTAAGAATAATTCAATATACCTTTGCTAGTTGTAGTGTAAAGCTCTCCCCATATGCTGCCTGGTAGCACAATGACATGTCATCTGAAACCGGTAAACATGTCTACGGAGAGAAGGATCAAAATGCTTCTGTGTGATATACTCGCACGCTTCATTTTTGTGTACATCTACCCCATCTGTTGGTAAAATCAGTCTCTTTTTACTGTTGTAGTTATTGAATAAGACAGTTTCTTTGTTTTCATGTTTACCACATCTGCATATTCTAATGAATACCGCTACTATTCTGCCGTGTTCATTGAGCTCTCCATATCGAGCCACAGCTTTGCACTCGTCGCTGTAATGGATCTCACCATGCATGCGATTACTGAGGGAACTGAAGAAAACTTCGTCAGAAATACCGCTTATATCGTTATTCATGCTGCTTAAATTCAGATGGCTTTAGATGGCTTAAATTATTTTGATTTCTGGTTTCTTAACTTTTCAATATTTGAAAGTTTTCTGAGCTGTTACTTTTAGCTCTGTCTGACAGCCATATTTATAGGAGTTAACGCTCTTTGTTATCAATAATGACATAATTTTTAATCGTTCTGGTATGTTCTTCTCATATTCCATTGGCTAAAGTAGCTACTCGACCTTTTCAGGAACGGAAATGAGAATTTTTGGAATTATTTTTAGCTACATAACATCAAAAGAATATCTAAAATAGACTCACAAATACCCAGGCTATTTTTGGATCTATGCTAAGTAGTCTGCCTAGTGCTCTATAGTATATGAATCACGTTTTTAAATACGTTTCTTTCTTCGAATCAGTAAAAAAACATTAGTTAAAGTACCTCGTAAAGCTATGTTTAAACTGAAATTAGTTTATAAAGAAACTTACTGGGGCAAAAAGACCAACATTTTTCTAACTTCTTTTCAGAAATTAAGCATTAATATTAAAAAAAACTATTCAAGTGTCAGAGTATGTAGATATTTTATTCTTTGGGATTTTATAATTTGAGAAACATAATTCCGCCTACTGGTGTCGTCTTACCTGAGAAAACAAAATACATCATGCATACATAGCGTACTTAGAAGTCAGACAAAAGATTGATATGATTTTATATTTACTTTTGTATTTGTCTTGTGTAAACTTATATCATGTTTCAGAACTTAATAACTGGCGTCTTTTCTTTTTCCTGTATGGTTATCACTGTGCATTATATTTGCTTTTTAGCATTTATCTACTCACGTCCTTTTGTATATCGGTTCTCTCGTTATAACGTAAATCATAAATAGATTATCCTGAATGTATTCAAAGTTATGAATTGAGGAAGTAAACACTTGTGACTGAAAGATTAAGTCGTGAACTTTTTTTTTATTTTTTAAGCATTAAATCTTCTTGAAATGGGCTCACAAAAAAGCGTTTATATGTTTTCCTTATACGACAATCCTGACACTACAATGTTATAGTTAACCCAATAGTATGAGCTTATTTATCTTTTTTTCTATTTATAAATTTATTATTTATTTATTGCCTTCAAGGAAATTCTTTAACTTATTCGTGAAACAAATTACAAAAATACAACAATAATATAATTAAGGGCTACCACAATAAAATGTAAGAGCATTAACAAGGCTGGAATTTGAACCATTTTAAACAATAAACATGAATTCAGGGTAACTAAATTCCACCATTATGATCATCTACATCATATAATTTTTCTTTTCCATTTTTAAATATGTTTTAAATTGTTTCAATTAAATGAAACAACTGGGTTATTTTTTCAAATTGTTATATGTATATATGAAACATTGTAATAGAAATTTGATTCGACTTCATTTTATTGCTGATGTATGTGACTGAGTGGCCAATGAAAAGTC